ATTGTTTATGGAAACTGTTATCAGTATTTTGATTATCATGTTATAACATGTGCATACTTACCAACTATTTTTATAGTTGACGCTCGTTTTACATGTTTTTTTCATAAATCATCGAGTAAGTGGCACTTAGGGACACATCACTTTTAGGAGCATTCACATGTGTTGTATTTCAATTTACATTGTAATTCTTTTAAAAGTTGTTCAAACCTATTGTAAATTTGTAATGATTTTTAATACTATTGTTGGTGTTGTCTTTTTAACTTTTGCTATGAAACCCTTTGTACTGCCACGCCCCATATTTCCGCTTTAGCGGGGTGTGACAATACATATCAGAATTACCTTAGTGGATAGTGACTAAAGTGTTGAACTACCACATGAAATAGTAATCTAAACAATACATACATACATACATACATACATACATACATACATACATCTATATATATATATATATATATATATATATATATATATATATATATATATATATATATATATATCATATCTAAACATACTATGAGGATGTATTTTAAACATTTAAAATACTATGAGGGTGTATAAGGGTGTATTTTAAATATTTAAAATACTATGAAGTTTAATCTTTTAAATAAATTGGACTTTTAGTTTAATTAAGTTTAAACCATATTATTATGGATTTATTAATTCTCTCTTTTAATTAAACACGTAATTAATTTAATAAAATCCATAAGGATGTAATTTGAGCTATTTAAAATACGAAGGTTCTAAATTTAAGATTTCAATATTAAAGCTATTTAATTAAATCTTAAGTTACACAACCAAGAGGTGCATTTTTGAAACCTTTCAAATTACTAGGGTTTTAAAATATAATATTTCATAATTAAGACATTTAATCAAATTTTAAATTTCAAAACTTGAGGATAAATTTTGAAACTCTTCAAAAAAAAACTCTTGAATTTTAGAATTTAATGTTTGAGGCTTTTTAAATTCCAAAATTTGAGGGCAAATTTTGAAACTTTTAAAAACCTTTTGGATTCCAAACCATGATGACAAGTTTTGTAACTTTCTTTTAATTATAAAAGAAACCTTTCAAGTTCCATAACTTGAGGGCAAGTTATGAAGCTCTTTAAAGTCATTTAGATCAAACTTTAAACTAATAAAATAATCATATAATTTTATTTTTACTAATTTGACTTCATTCAACTCATATGACAAAACGATTCAAATTCTACAAATAATTAGTTTTTCACAAAATCAAGCAATTATCTTAAAAATTGACAAGATAATCACAATTCAAAATTTACAAATAATTAATTTATCATATAAACTATTAATTATCTTAAATTTTGATCATTATCTTTTAATTAAGATGAGGATAATTATTTTCATAACATAAAAATTGAATTTTAAACAACAAAACAATTTTTAGTAATTATCCAAATTCAAATTAACTCAAGAAATACAAATTTTGCCATCAGGTCCATCACCACCTCATGGTGATCATGCAGATTAAAAAAAAAAAAAAAAAAAAAACGATTTCCTTGCTTTGAACAATTACCAATGCATCAATATAACAGAAAACACCCATGACTCTGATACCACTGTTGGGTTTTATATACTATAACGCTCCTATGGTGCACATACAACCCTAATGTTTTGGATCTAAGTTTTCTCTAGTTATACATGCAACAAAAATATCCAAAGCATGAAACCTATAACTAGCATACAATTTTGATATTCACAATAGAAAACAAGTTAGAAGAATACCTCTTTATTGTAGCTTGTAGTCCTCGGCTTTTCAAGAGCTTAGCACCTCAAGTGTGATGCCTCAAATGGTTCACAAAACACCAAGAGCAAGAGGAGAGCTTTGAGAGAGAGGTTAGGAACACACAAAATCGGCTATACTCTTGTTGTAACACATGTGTGAACGATTTTGGCTAAGGGGTTACATATATAGTGTAGGATTCCAAGGGTCATTTTTAAAACCCTAATCCATACACTTAGGCTTATGATCCAACAACTCATATAGACTAACTCTTCATGGACTCTTATATAAACTTAGCCCATCATGGATCAATAACCCAAACCATATGTATCACTGATTTACATAATCAGTCCTCGTTAATTTAATTAGTCTTTTTTGGTCACTAAATTAATTCCAAATTAATTCTTGATCAATACTAATTAAATAACATGATTCCTCAATTAATATATTATACTTATAACATATTAATAAATCATAAATAACCTCTTTCTCAAATATCCTTCATTTCAAATTGCTTCGGTGAATGCAACCTAAAATAGACCATGCTACTCTCAGATCAAGTACATACCAATTATAGTTATGGGCTTAGACACCTAATCCAACAATTACTTGGTGGCTTTACATGCCCCAAACAAACCCAAACTCCAAAAATAGCATTCTACTTCCATGAAAGTGACCTTAACTCATGCATGAACCCATTAAGACCTTCAAGATGGTAACTTTCTGATTCTAGAACTCAAACAACACTTAGAGTGGCAACTCTAAGTTCCAAAAAACTACATGGACACAAGGGACATCATCCATAGGAACAAAGAGTCCATAAACCCAATCTTAAAAGAGATCTAAGAGAATAACCACCCAGTTCAGAACTGTATACCTTATATGAATGCCAAATGTTGATAAGGTTCTGGATCTATAAGCCTTTGCTCCTTTGATGATGCTTCAACAATGGACATATTCCTTTAAAACACCAAAATGCTCTTCTAATGGCCTTTCAAGCTCTAATAACACACATGAAAGGATTAAGGTTTCGTGGGTACTGTCTAAGGGTGAGAGGGAGGCTGGTCATAAGGTCATAATGTTCTTTATATAGTGCTCAACCCTAAAATTTAGGGTTTGGGGACTCTGAACGTACGTTGGGCGTACGCCTCCCACACCCGCATCCACTTAACCCCTCTACGTTGGGCATACCCCAACTTACGTTGGGCGTACTCTCGTGCATGCCACCTTGTATACATGGGGTTTCCTTGCCACTTTAATAAATAAAAAAACATTCATTTATTAAAATAGATTTGCTTTTAAGGTCATTAAAAAATAAATAAAAATTGAAAGTGTATCAACTTTACAATAAAATTAATCTCAAGACAAATGATAAAAGTTAACCTATAGTTAATTATTTATAATGAGTTTTTTCGAAAAAAATACAATTTCAACCAATGAAAATATTTTAAAAATTAATAAGGTTATTTATATTGTAAAATGGGAGTTGTTTTTAACCGACCCATAAATTTGATTACATTTGCTGCCATTTTAACGTGGTCATACCAATTTTGAGGATTTTGGGGTATTTTTATATTTTCTCTTAGGGAAATCTTCAGAAAAGTCCCAATATTTACGGAAAAGTTACACTTTAGTCCCAAGATTTTTTTTTTGAACGAAAAAGTCCTGAAAACCGGCAAAAATTTGCAGTTTGACCCTTTTTGACCGGTTGAAACCGGTACCAAACTAATTTGGGACTATTTCGTAAACTAATCCAAAATATTGGGATTTTTCAGTAAACAAAAAATATTAGGACTTTTCTGTAAACAAAAATATTAGGACTTTTCTATAAACAAAACCTTAATTATTATTATTGTTATTATTATTATTATTATTAAAAATATAAATAAGAATACTATTTTTTGAACTTGTTATTTTTAATATTATTACTAATACATATAAATGCATTAAATGAAAAAAATATTATTAATAACATTGTTTAAGGGTGGAGGTGGAGGAGATGGTGATGTTTTTAGTATTGAAATCGTGAATGTCTACTTGTATATTTTTACTTTGTATATGGTCATTTCATATTTGTTATTATTGTTTTCAATTCAGAATATTAATATTTAACAATTTGAAAGAAGTTGCATATTAATAGTTTAAGGTAGTAGAGTTTCTCATTTTGTATATAAAATTGTTTAAGGTTGAAGAATTACTTTCCAAATCCAACAAATCCACTACAAACATCTACATAAGTAACCTATATTAAAATTCGAAAGTATTAATTACAATATTTTGTTTAACAAAAAGTAATAGGAATAATTCAAAAGTATTATTCAAAATTCAAAAGTATTAATCCAAAAAACATGTCCTATTACTTTTTATTGAACAAGATATTGTAATTAATATTTTTGAATTTTGATATGGGCTACCTATGTAGATGTTTGTAGTGGATCTGTTGGATTTGGAAAATAATCCTTCTACTGTAAACATTTTTATATACAAAGTGAGAAATCCTTCTAACTTAAACTATTTATAAAGAATTTTACAAATATGCAACTTCTTTTAAATTGTTAAGTATTATTATTTTTAATTGAAAACAATAACAACAAATGTGAAATGGCCATATAAAAAGTAAAAATATACAAGTAAACATGCATGATTTCAATGCTAAAGGCAGCAACATCTCCTCCACCTCCACCCTTAAACAATGTCATTAATATTATTTTTTCATTTAAATACATTTATATGTATTAGTAACAATATTAATAATAACAAGTTCAAAAAAAAGTATTCTTATTTATATTTTTAATAATAATAATAATAATAATAATAATAATAATGATGATGATGATGATGATGATGATGATGATGATGATGATGATGATGATGATGATGATGATAATAATAATAATAATAATAATAATAATAATAATAATTATAATAATAACAATAATAATAATTAAGGTTTTGTTTATAGAAAAGTCCTAATATTTTTGTTTACAGAAAAATCCTAATATTTTTTGTTTACTGAAAAATCCCAATATTTTGGATTAGTTTACGAAATAGTCCCAAATTAGTTTGGTACCGGTTTCAACCGGTCAAAAAGGGTCAAACTGCAAATTTTTGCCGGTTTTCAGGACTTTTTCGTTCAAAAAAAAAAATCTTGGGACTAAAGTGTAACTTTTCCGTAAATATTGGGACTTTTCTGAAGATTTCCCTTTTCTCTTAAACATTTAAGTCGATTGATTCGAATATTTGTAATTATTACCCACTCATAAGTCACAAGGGGTTAACAGTGATTTTGAGAATGCTCTGATAAATCCCACAGAATCCCCAATTCAGATTTCCACGATCCAAACAGTTTTTGACAAGATTTGAAATAGTCAAATACGCAAGAATCTCTAGATCTGCTGCAGAAGAAGATGGTTTGGGGCTGCTAATCAGGTTTCGAATTTTCTAGAACAGGGAAAACTGGGACGAATCGTCTCCTTGGTTTACTCAATACTTTCTCTACACTTTTAATCAACTAGAAGAACTAGGACAATGAGATGAGAGGGAATTTCAAATCTTGAAGGAAACATGATAACGAGTAATGGGTCATTGGATCTCTAAGACGATCAAGTAATGTGTCATTACAATCTCCATTAACAACAGAATTTGATCAATCAACGCCACCGGTTACTTACAGGAAGACCTCAAATTATGTTTATCGGTAAAGAGAAGGATGAGATGTTCATGTGGATCTTCAAATTCGCAGCTCGAAAGAAGCTTGGAATGCTGCTCCTGTGTTTTGTTTCAATAGCAGTCGTGTTGTGGATACTTTATGTCGGCAAGGGTTTGTTCTTCGTTTCTCTAAAATCAATCAATTATAGCTCTTACACATTTGACTTTCGAGTGTTAAACCAGTTGAATTTCTGTTGAAAATAGTATTGACTTAGATCTATAATCAAAGGTACTAAACAACGAAATCTATTTCCGAATTCTGGATTCGGAAAGTGTTAGGTTTTAGGAACTTAAATTTATCCTCTTCAAAACTATGCCAAAACTCGCTTATTAAATGTGAATATGTAATGAGACAATATCAATCTACTTGGCTTCATAAGCAAAGCACTATTGTTATCATGAGCATCGAATTCAACCATTAAATGCTGCTATACTTTTGAATTAGGTTTTATAGTATAAACAAATTATGCCCTAAAATGAATATTCTTCATTCTTTTGGTTGTTTTCAGGTGAGGTTACTCAAGAATTAGGCTCTGTGAGGAGCTTAGGGTTCATAAACATATCAACTGTAGGATTTTCTGGACATTCTTCACCTAATGATGAAATAAAGATTACCATTTATAATGATAAAAAAATTACAAGTCAATCTCCTCCACCTCCTATTTATAATACCGGATATACCCTTCTTCCTGGGAACCCTTGTGAGACCTTTACATTGCCTCCACCACCAGCTGATAAAAAAAGAATTGGGCCACGTCGTAAGTTCATAAATTTTTTTTTTTCCTTTTATAATTTTAAATCCCTTAAAATATTCATCCACTTTTTCTTTCTGTTTTGACACTTTTCTATGTTTCAGCATGTCCTGTGTGTTATCTTCCTGTGGAAGAAGCAATTAATTTGATGCCAAAAGCTCCTTCATTTTCTCCTATTCTCCAAAATCTGACTTACATTCATGAAGAGAATTCAACTAAAAGTGAGTTTGGAGGCTCGGTTTTTGGTGGGTATCCTTCTTTAAAGCAGAGGCTTGAATCTTATGATGTTAAAGAGTCGATGAAGATTCATTGTGGGTAAGTTATCTCTGGAATCCATCATCATTTAACAAATGGAAGGAATGGAATCTGACAAAGGAATTGGAATATGAAGGAATTATAATCTTCCATGTGTTTTGTTGACATGAAATTCAATTGTAAAAACCACATATTCTTTACAATCTTATTTATTTTTAAGTGGTGATCTCATAAAAGACCTTATATTTTGTGTTCTTTTTCTTGATTAAACCTCAAGTTTATTTTTTGCCTGAAAAGGAGCTTGTATTTTTTCTGAAAAAACCCTAAAATTTGTCTTTCTTTTTTTTTTTTTTTTTTTCGAAAAAAACCCTCAACTTTTGAAATGCTTCGAAATAAACCCTCAACTTTTTTAGTTTTTCTCGAAAAAGCCCTCACATTTTACAATTTTTTTAACGACTAAAATGGCCAGATCGGAAAAAGTGAAAAAATACAAGGTCTTTTTCAGGCAAAAAAATAAAGTTGAGGTTTAATCCGGAAAAAACACAAAATACAAGGTCTTTTAAGTTTTATGAGATTAACCCTTTTATTTATATTCAAATTTATATTGTGTATTATAGATATAAACAACTGAAATTTTCTATGTATTTTGGTTTTTTAATAGAAAAGAAAGAGTGGAATTGTATTCCTTCCACATTCCCATAGGAATAAAAAAAATCCATAAACAATGGAATTGTATTCCTTCCACTTCCATTCATTTGTCAACCGAACCTTCCATGGAATGGAATCTTGAATTCCAATTCCATCAATGATTCTGTCACTGATTCTCTTGTAACTAAAGATTTGTCAGAGGAGATAAACCAGGACACAATACAGGATTTGACATCAATGATTCAGATCTTTTTGAGATGAATCAATGTCAAGGAGTTCTTGTTGCATCTGCAATATTTGGTATCTTTATCTATAAATCTTCTTTACATATTTTCCCGAAAAGACGAGAATGCCCTTCTCATACTCATGGATGATTTAATCTTGGCAGGAGCATATGATTTGATTCAACAACCAAAGAACATCAGTGAAGCTTCAAAGAAAAACGTTTGCTTTTTCATGTTTATCGATGAACAAACACAAAAATTTCTTAAAAATTCAAATGATTTAAATGATAACAACAACAAGAAAATAGGGTTATGGAAAATCATTGTTGTCCATAATCTACCATATACAGACCCCAGACGAAATGGAAAGGTAATTAAAAAAAAAAAAACATTTCCCATTTTGTGGGCCCCATCTATATGATGTATGTATGATGTATGATGTATGAATGGCAGATACCAAAGCTTCTACTACATAGGCTTTTCCCAAATGTTAGGTATTCATTATGGGTGGATGCAAAACTTGAGCTTGTTGTGGATCCTTATCAAATTCTCGAAAGGTTTTATTTTATTTTTTTTTTTAATTTCATAATATCATAATAGAAATCATTTTTATATGACAAATAACTTTTATTATTATTTTATTTCATAAAATTCAGGTTTTTGTGGAGGAAAAATACGAGTTTTGCAATATCTAGACATTATAAACGGTTTGATGTGTTTGTAGAAGCTGAAGCTAATAAAGCAGCTGCAAAATATGACAACGCCTCCATTGACTTTCAAGTTGACTTTTATAAAACCGAGGGTTTGACCCCATATTCTGAGTCAAAGCTTCCGATTACAAGTGGTAAAACTTTTTTTTTTTTTTCAATTCGCATTATTAAAAAAATGCCGTAATAATAAATAAATAAAAATTTTCAGATGTTCCTGAAGGATGTGTGGTAATACGAGAACATATTCCAATTTCAAATCTTTTCACATGTTTATGGTTTAATGAAGTTGATCGATTCACTTCGAGAGATCAAATTAGTTTTTCTACTGTAAGAGATAAAATCATGTTCAACACAAATTGGACTCTTTATATGTTCTTGGATTGTGAAAGGCGAAACTTTGTTGTTCAGGTAATAAATTTTTATTTTTTTTATTTTAAAAAATAAATAAATAAATCATAGCATCGTATTTTAATCTTTCGTTTGTATATGTGAAGGGATACCACCGAGACATTTTGGAACATTGGGCACCACCACCCCCTCCAACTTTTCAACTTGCTGTTTCTAGTCCCTCACCTTCTCCCATCCCCTTTGATGAAACACCCAAACAAATTGTTACTAGACTCCGTAGAGATAGAAAATCAAGACGCCACCGTAAAATTCATGTAAAAAGTCAAAGTCAAAGTCAAAGTTAAATTCAAAGTCAAAGCTAAATTCTTGTAGAGAAAAAAAAAAGGCAAATTTTTTCGTTTGTTATCGGAATACAAATCATTTTAGGGCCCGCGAAAATCCGTGGAAGAGGAATGTTGTTCAAAAAAGGTACATATACTGATATACATATTGTATAAGGAAAAAAAAATCTAGAAAAACGCTTTGTATTTTCACTATTTTGTAGGTTTAGTTATTTAACTATTTTCTGTAGTGATTAAACTATTGTGATTTTTTATTTTTTATGGTCGCTCGAGGTAAATTACAAAAAAAAAAAAAAAAAAAAAAAACCGTCATGGTTCACGATTTTGTTGATTTAGCCACTTTTTATTGGTTTAGCTATTGAGTTATTTTTATAATGGTAAATTACAAATGTGGTCCCTGTGTTTTACCAAAACTTGCAAGTTCAGTCCAAATTTCTAGATCGTCGTAGTGTTGTCCTTGGGTGAGCATTTTGTTGCAGATATAGTCCTTGCCCCATCTAAAATAACTTCAAAAATTTGGACTAAACTTGCAATTTTGGACAAATCCACAATGAAATACAAACGTAAGAACGGGAAAATTTCAAAATTTGGACTAAACTTGTAATTTGTGTAAAGCATAGGGACCAAATTTGTAAATGGGAAAACTGGTTTGTTTAAACGGTCAAAAAAAAAGATATAATGGTGTCTTTAATCACCATATAATTATATAATTATATATGCTTCTAAACAGTTGAAATACTTTATTTCTTACTTATATCATGATGTCAACAGAGAAAGAAGGTGATCACGCTTGAGCATGCAAGGGTGTGCTTGTTTGAGTTGTAAGTTGTGTAATGGTCATGGGGTTTGAGCTTAATGCTTTATGGATGTGTGGACCCCACACGTGCTAAAATGGCAATATGAACTTTTGGGAGATGGTGTTACATAAAGTGTGATGCATAGTTAAAAAATAGTGTTAAGAAATTTTGTTACAAAAAGGTTAATGTTAGGATCAAACTTTAGATTTGATGATGTTTAGAAATCATATAGGTAAGCTGCCATGAGTAGTCAGCTTCTTTTTCCCTTATGAATGTGTAGTCTTGTTTAATAAAAGTGGTTGAATGTGTAATGATGTCAAAGTGTTGTATAAATAAATAATGTTCTTTTTTAGACTAAATTAACATAGAGTACAAAATTGAAAATATAATACTAGATTAATTAATAACCTCGATAAAATTAATAATTTATCCGGTTGTAGCTTGAGACCAATACAAAATTCGATCCCAATTGATAAAATAATAAAATAATAATTTTTTTGAGATTCCAATGTAAATATATTGGCTCTAGCGAAACTGTAAATTAATAATTACTAAAATATTCCAAAATTCTAGAATTGTCTAGTAAAAAAAAAAATCTATAGTTACTTGTTTTTTTTGTGAATTTCAAATCTATATTAATTAAGTTCATCTTTAAATCTCTTATTTGCAGTTAAGAGTTGGGGCACTGTATTCTCGTATTGCAACAAAAAGTTGTGAAGAGTTGTTACCGCTTGCAATGCTTCTTTCCGAGTGACCGGTTCCAAAGCTATCGAATCATCATCAACCGAATTTTGAACGATATCCACGATAATTTTTTCAATGCTTTGAACCTCGTAACATTAATTATTTTCACCTGGATAATCCAAAAACTCCTTCACATCCATTAATATCTGAATGTACATGAGAATTTTGAAGATTCTTGTTTCTGTTTTATTCAAATGGATAAAGTGAACGGATATAAATTTTTTGAAGGTCGATGCATTAATTTGCGAGTTGCTCACGAATATAAACCAACTTTTTAAATTAATGATTTATTAATTTATCGATATAATTATATTTTACTAAATTAATAAAATATCTCAATCCAACAATATTAATTTATAGAGGTTTTACTGTAATAGATAATACGATCATCAATTTTAAGACATTTCCTGCCTAGTTTTACAAGATTCACTAGTCAGATGATAGGTAGATCATTTTGGCTAATTTTCCAATCAGTCTACTAGTCAAGTGTATCCAACTCACTAGCAATGACTAAATTACATGGTGCTCATAACATGGAAATCCAAAGAAAAACGAAAAATATATATGCGCATGTAGCTAGGTAGCTTTTTGATGGTAATCACAGAAGAAGGAAACAAGAATCTAAAATTTAGTTTCTACGTAAAACTCATGTAAGTGACAAAGAAGGAAAAAAAACCTTTCAACATGAAATAGAAAATTGAGTGTGCATAAAACTTGTCTAAATCACGAAAAATCCACATATATCACCAACACAACCATTGTTCACTGTTTGGATACAACTGAATAGTCGAATTAAACATTTTAAATTGAATTATTTGATTCGTATATTTAGATTTTTGGACCGATTTCAACAAAACTGAATTATTATTTTGGATTGATTTTGATTTGCAAAATAATAACTGAATAATTAAAAAAATGAATAACAATTTATTATTTATTTATTTTTAATATATATTTATAATTTTTTCAACAACATTCAAAAAAATTCACCAACTAAAAAACCTTAATATGCATTTTCTTTCGAAAAATTTATCTATAAAATATTAAACTATAATATATTTTTAGTAGTTTGTTTATAAATTTTAAAAGACAAATAAATAGTTTCTTGTTTTTTCTTCTATAAAAGTTGACTAATATTCTAATTATATATGGGTTTAAAATGTTCCATTTTTTGAATATCGATTTATAAAAATCAATCCAACCAAATTGTAATTAATGTTAGACCAGTCCAGTGGACGGTTGAGCGGTATAATTAAAAAAATTGCTTTTAAGTTGTTCTATATCATAATTATATCAATTGTTACCATGCATTGTAGAATGAAAAAACTACCCAAATAAATAACATATGAAAGAAAAAGAAAAACATAAAATGACTATAAAATAAAAACCATAGCAATCTAGTAACTTACAATGTCACATTTAATCTTCATTTGACATGAAAACCAAAAGATAAGAAGCATAGAGGAGTTAAATCTTCATTTAATCTAGTGTTGTCCTTGGGTGTGCATTTTGTTATGGATATGGTCGTTGCTCCATATAAAATGATTTAAAGTATTTGGACTAAACTTGCAATTTTGAATAAAGCAAAGGGCCAAATCTACAATGAAATACAAACAAAAGAATGACATTGGGTAAATTCAAAATTTGAACTAAACTTGCAATTTGTGTAAAGCTTAGGGACCAAATCTGTAAATGGGAAAAGTGGTTTGTTTAAACGGTCAAAAAAATATATAATGGTTTAATCACCATATACAATTGTTATGTAGCTAAATCGATAACACGATTAAAGCACATTTGTGTTTTTCTTTAGTTTGCCCTATTACATATAGTATAAATTTTTTATTTTGTTCTCCTTTGTGTATATATTTTTACACGTTATTTTTGTTGTATATATGCTTCTAAACAATTGAACTACTTCATTTCTTACTTATATCATAATGTCTATAGAGAAAGAAGGTGATCACCACGCTTGAACATGAGACCTATTTACATACCCATTTAAAAAAAGAAACACTCATTTATATCTATCTGCCCATATTAAGTGAGATATTGAATCCATTAAGTAAAAAAAAAAAAGCATTTATAGATTTGTGGACCCCACATGCTAAAATGGCACTATGGACTTTTTGGGTGTTGGTGTTAGTCATAAAGTGTGATGCAAAGTTCAAAGGTAATTTTAAGAAATTTTGGTACAAAAAGGTTAATGTTAGGATCAAACTTTAGATTTGATGATGTTTAGAAATCATATAGTTAAGCTCAGCTTTGGTTGATTAAGACTTGGGGTCTTTTTTTTCCATTATGAAGTCTTGTATGGATAAAATGGTGGAATGTGAATGTGTAATAACGAAGTGTATGTTTAAATAATGTAATTTTTTTGGCTTAAATGAACTGATTGATGGTTAAAATTATAAAATAACCACATTAGAGGATTTAAAAATTAAATAAAAGAATAATACTCCCTCCATCTTAATATTATAGTCTATCTTTCATTTTTGATTTGTACCAAAATAATAATCTACTTCTAAAAATAAATATTATTTTTACCAAAATACTCTCTCATTATTACTTAACAAACTAAACATTTAATGGAACATTAAATACAAAGTAAGGATAAAATTGTTATTTTATTTTATAAAGTTAGTGATAATTAATGCTTTCTTAATCTGTGTGTTTTTTTGTCTATGGACAATAATATTGGGACGAAGGGAGTATGATATTAACGTAAGTTGAAGCGATAGAATTAAATGCAAATATGCATTATAGTCGATTTGCAATTTCATTACCCTCGTTAAATGTTATAGTAAAATAAGTTGAAGCGATAGATAATTTGTCTTAAATGTTATATGAAATTATGTCCAGCAAAACATGCAACTACTTTATCAGATCCATATATAGAAAATTACATAAAAACAGAGACATACTGATACCACATTCATGTTTGTATGCTTGGAATAAGAAAACAAAGACGTAAACAATTAAGATATTTATAGATGATTGTTTGTTAAGTAGAACATTGTAACAAAATGGAACGATAGGTGACCTTTGTGAACAAGCCTTTTTTGAGAACATAATACCATAATTGTAAAGATTTTAAAACATTTCTTGCCTAGTTTTACAAGATTCACTAGTTTATGAATAGGTAGACTTTTTGGATAATTTTCTAGGGAAATCTTTAGAAAAATCTCAATATTTACAGAAAAGTTACATTTTAGTCTCAAGATTTTTTTTGGACGAAAAAGTGCTAAAAACCAGCAAAAAATTACAGTTTGACCCTTTTTGACTGGTTGAAACCGGTACCAAATTAATTTGGGACTACTTCATAAAATAAACAAAAATATTGGACTTTTCTATAAACAAAAAATATTAAGATTTTTTTGTAAACAAAAATATTATGATTTTTCTACAAACAAAACCTTATTATTATTATTATTATTATTATTATTATTATTATTATTATTATTATTATTATTATTATTATTATTATTATTATAAATAAGAATACTATTTGTTGAACTTGTAATTATTAATATTGTTACTAATACATATAAATGCATTTAAATGAAAAAAAAAATACTATTAATAACATTGTTTAAGGGTGGAGGTGGAGGAGATGGTGATGCTTTTAGCATTGAAATCATAAATGTTTGTTTGTATATTTTTACTTTGTATATAGTCATTTCACATTTGTTATTATTGATTTCAATTTAGAATAATAATACTTAACAATTTAAAAGAAGTTGCATATTTGTAAAATTGTTTATAAATAGTTTAAGGTAGAAGGATTTCTCACTTTGTATATAAAAACTTTAAGGTAGAATGATTACTTTCCAAATCCAGCAGTTCCACTACAAACATCTACATAGGTAGCTCATATCAAAATTCAAAACTATTAATTACAATATCTTGTTTAATAAAAAGTAATAGGATATGTTTTTTAGATTAATACTTTTGAATTTAGATTAATATTTTTGATTTATTCTTATTACTTTTTATTAAACAAGATATTGTAATTAACACTTTTGAATTTTGATATGGGTTACCTATGTAGATGTTTGTAGTGGATTTGTTGGATTTGGAAAGTAATTCTTTTACCTTAAACAATTTTATATAAAAAGTAAGAAACCCTTCTACCTTATACTATTTATAAACAATTTTATAAATATACAACTTCTTTTAAATTGTTGAATATTAATATTCAGAATTGACACAATAATAACAAATGTGAAATGACCATATACAAATTAAAAATATACAAATAGACATTCATGATTTCAATACTAAAAACATCTTCATCTCCTCCACCTCCACCCTTAAACAATATCATTAATAGTATTTTTTTCATTTAAATGCATTTATATGTATTAGTAACAATATTAAGAATAACAAGTTCAAAAAATAGTATTCTTATTTATAATAATAATAATAATAATAATAATAATAATAATAATAATAAGGGTTTTGTTTTAGAAGAGTTTTAATATTTTTGTTTACAGAAAAGTCACAATATTTTTCGTTTACAGAAAAGTCTCAATATTTTGGGTTAGTTTACGAAATAGTCCCAAATTAATTTGATACCGGTTTCAACCGGTCAAAAAGGATCAAACTGCAAAATTTTGTCGATTTTCAGAACTTTTTTGTTCAAAAAAATAATCCTAGGACTAAAGTGCAACTTTTCCGTAAATGTTGAGACTTTTCTGAAGATTTTCCAATTTTCTATCCTATTTCTCATATATTAAAAAAAAAAAAAAAAAGAACTTGGAAGCCCAAAGATAAACAAAAAAAAATGTAT